GTCTCTCTTTCTCTCCCCTACACACACACACACACACACACACACACACACAAACACACACAGTATATTATCTAGTAAAGTGATTGTGGAATTAACATTTTTTTTTTTTCCTGGAAGGAATATATCTGATTTAATGACCAAAACATTTTAAGGCAGCACAACAAAATTTCACAGGAACTAAATCTATTTCTTCACACCGATCATGCATGTTTTACTCAAGCATTGAGTCATTAGCATGTTTATAATGGTTCTAATTTAGCACAACATTTTCTGAATTTTATCCTTGAGTCATTTACAAATTGTTCATATTGAATAAACAAAGGAAACAGATTGCATTTTATACTTAGTAATTTATCTCAAAGAAGAGGGGAGGGTTAATTGTTTTAAAGTTTTGGTCTGTTTGGGGAAGTGAGCCTGCTTTTTCATTGCTAGGCATAAATGCCATTTCTCATTTTGGGGGGAGAGTTGGGGGCTATGGAGGAGTAAAATGAAAAATTAGGACAAGATTGGCCACTCCCAGAGGGGAGTATGGAGCAAAAGGGGAGCTGGCACCAGATTATCCAAAACAGTTGGTGCATTCCTTAATGATCAAGTGCTTGAGAAGTCCAGCTCTTCCTGGCAGAGCATCTGTGTTGATGTTTATATCATTGCCCTGCTGTATGGGAAAGGCATGCTTTCTCTTGATGCTTGGCTAAAAATAGGATGGAATATAGCATTGTATGAGATATTTTAAGATAGCAAAAACATTTAAGAGGTTAAAGGTTTGGCTTTTGAATAAAAAAAAATCAGTGATATGACTTGTGTTATTTCTTGCAGACTGAATTTTATCTAGAGTTCGTCAGTGATTCGAACTCTTGGTCAGACAAATCTAAGTTCATTTGATGCACACTGAAAAGCCCACTTTGCTGTCTTTTCTGTCAGCCTCCTTGCATGAAGCAGGCCTGAAAACAGCCTATATTTAAACCTCCCTGTTCATTTTGGAAGATTAGTTGTTTCACTGGAGAGAGGGAGCGAGAAGGAGAGCACCAGCAGTCGTCAGGCAGTGTGCTTTGTACGTTATAGTGACTTCAAAATAAAACTGGCACATTTTAGTGTCTAATTATTTTTAGTGAGCTTGGAGGGTTTTAATTAAAATTTAAGAGTGCTCTTCAAGCTCTCCAAGCTCCAATTTTATACCACTGTATTGTGGAGCACTTGTCACTGTGGAAAAATGTACAGTAACTGGCATGTGCCTCTCTGTTTCCTAATGAAAAATGTGGGATGGATGATCAGCAAGGATATAAATATATATTGTCAGAATTAGTTGTAAATCAAGGTCAAGGATACTTTGGATAAGTTCTTGGATAATAGAAAATTTACTGTACTTGAAAATTATGATTCTTACTGTAAAACAGGAGCAGCATCATTGTCTTTCCTCACTAAAATATTGCAAAGATATTTTGTCTGTCGTGTTTGTAATATTTTGGCATTTCTAACTATCAGTTTGAACTTAAGAGGAATAATAAATGTTTAGTCACAGGTAACTTGCTTTAAAGTAGAAAAAAGACTTTTCTCATGTCCTTTCTTCTCTCTCTCCCCCCCTCTAGTTTTAATGATGATTATTGATTCTCTTTGACCCATTTGAAATACCTTTATTCTATGCAGAATAGGAGTTAATACTGGTGGTGCTTTGTTTAGCTAGGGATAATCTAAAATTGTTCCTAAAATATTGTCATATAGACTAGGAAATAAATATCTCATACACCCACCTCAAATTCCTCTTGTTTTATGAAATTTGTTAGCAGGCAAAATCATTACCAAGCTGTGATTAAGCATTCTTGACTTTCTTGACTTAAAACCTAGATACTTAGGAAGAAGAAACATTGCTTTGTAATCCATTAGGCAGGATATTTATAAAAAGTTATTTCTGAATTTGTTTTCCTTAGAAAAAAAATTTCTTAAAAGAAAATCTTACATTTTTAAAGGAAAAGAAAAAGACTTGCAATTGCAAATTAATTTTTAGCATATCACACCATGTTATATCTTTGATTAAAATGTAAGTGAAAATTGATGTCCAGGTTTTGATTTTTAATAGTCCTAATTTTTTTTTACCTCCGTTGGGTTTTGCATTTATGCGTCATCAGAATAGGGCAAAGTCTGATCTGATCAGACTTTGAAAAAGTCTGAAAAGCTAGTGTTTAAGGATGGCACAGGAGCATAAATAATTACTTTTAATTTGCATCCTTACCTGGGTATTATTTTCAGTGGAAAATTAAAAAACATAAATTTTCATTTACACTTTTAACTACTACATAATTGCAAATCAGAAATTTTTTAGTGGTGACCATTGATTGTGACCTCTGTCTTTATGTTATTTATTAACATTCTGCATCTTCTAGTCTTTCCTCCCTCACTTTACTTGCTTTACATTACAGCATGGAGGAGCATACATAGTACTAACTGTGGTATGCCCTTAGAGGTTTGGCATAGATAATTAAGTGAAAAAGCTAAGAGTTTTTCAAGACACTGCCTCAGAGTTTTGAGTCTTCCTGGAATCTAGAATTGAGATAAACATTGATAAGATTGTATATAGTGACTTTTATTGTCCCGTAGATAAAGGCAATCAGTGTCTGTTGCTAAATATTTTCATGGGCTATAAATATAGACATGCAAAGCTGCTTGATTTCCCCCCCCCTTAGTTTCTTCCACTGAAGTGGGAACTCAGCTAGATTAACTCAGCATTATGGTGAGGATTAATTTTCTAATAGGAATGTAAAATGCTTTGAAGTTATTAACCATTTTATTAATGAGTAGCTTTTATGTAAAGCTGTGTCCACATGGTTTGATTTATGTTTGAAGTGTGTGTTCCTGTTGTTCATATAGTTCTATTTTTCTCCCATGAAGTTTCAGCATTCTTTTTCTGGAGGTCTGAAAGATTTCAGGCCTATTTATAGAAATGAGAGGCTAAAATGCCTGTTTCACATTTACTGTGTATCTGATGCTAGTTTATGAAGTTTCTAGGAATTTGTGATCATTATTAGTAAATTAGGCTTTTGTCTTTAACCAATATAATATGTGCTTTGGCTCAACTTTTAACCAGACAAATTATGCTTTAGCATTTTTAACAGTGGTTACTGGTTTAGTGCAATATATAAAATATATGAAAAGGGTAAAAAACAATAAAAAGTAACTAAACTGGGTAAGATAGGATGTTAAAGACTTTTTGTTAATTATTCTTATCCATGTTCTGATATTATATAAATCTCTCTCAGAGATGTAAATCCAAATTGAGATTATCTCTGATAGGCATGGCTTTGAAGATTTGCTTGACTCTCACATCTAGGATTTTCTTTTCTGTGACATTAGTAGAAAACAAAATTCATACTGAAAAAATTATACATTTTTTTCTCAATTAAAAAAAGTAGCAAAAAACCATTTTGGCAATTGAATATAAACTAAATATTTACAGATGCATATAGGCTCTGTCAGGTCACTCAGAATTTAATTTTTAATCATAATAGTAGGTTATCTGTTGAAGTCTAAGGAAATAATAAGGAAGAATGGAAGAGAAAAATACTGAAAGGAAGGAAAGATGAGGGAAGAAGTAAGGGAAGGGGCAGACAATTTTCACTTAATAGAATCAAGCTGACTTCTATTTAGAAAGAACTTCAACTTCTGTGATAGCTCAGATGGTTGCTCTTCATCAGCCATTTCAGGACACACTGATCTGGATTCCATCCATTCCCTGATTGATTGATCATGTCATGAACAAATGTTAATTATTTTCACCAATACTTTCTAACCATGCAGTGGTCTTCTCATCTTTTACGCAGAGCTCACTTTCTTTTTCTGCAGCTTATCTAGTTTCTAAAATCCTGTAGATCCATCTTGACCTTACTGTCATGCTGAAAAATTCAAGGAGGATTTAGAAGTTGGAGGAAAAAAAATGAAAGGGAAAATGCTAAAGAGATAGGTACTGATATGAGAGAGAAAAAGCATTTGGAATTGAAGTAACTATTTCAAATATAAATTTAAAAAGAAGTTATCGGAATTTTGACACTTGGAATGTTAAAGTTTAATGGGAGTATGCTTTGCACTAGGATTTAGTATTTAAATCTTCATTCTCCTTTGTAAAAGTGGCCTATTTCTTAAGATTTGAGTCTTAAAAAGTGGAAGTAAATAGCTATAAGCAGAAACTAGTTGCAAGGCCATCTAAATAGAAAGGAAAAAAAAAATAACTCATTGAGAAAAACTTGCTACTTACTAGTACATTCTAAAGTTTAAATTTCTGCAAATATTATGAATCTTTGTGGAAACAAGTATAATAATTCTGTATTAACCAGTGCTATTTAGAGATACCGTAAGGAAACTAGTGGTTAAAAAAGCATTTTCTTTAAAAGAACATACTTCTCTCTTTAATGTAAGAAAAGTTTTAGCAGTTTTCATTACTTGGGGACAGAGGACATCTTAACTTTAATTTCTTTGCATTTTGCTCTAACGTGGAATTTTACAAAAAATGCCATATGTTTATTACTTTCTAACAGACTAATTGGTTATAAGTTGATTGACCTCTTCTCCCTTGAAGATTTGTCATTCTTTCTTGAATAGCACATGAATTTTGCTTGGAGTTAAAAAAAAAAATAATGTGGATAAAAAGGAATAACGTCAGCTTAAACCTGTAAAAGAGTACCTTTTCCTGTTCTATCACTCTAAGAAACAATAATGCTGATTAAAATTAGAATTACAAATATACTACCAAGCTAATATTATTGAGCATTATCTTCCCCCACCCCAGGCAAAACCTAAATTTTTTTTTTTTTGGTAAAAATAGATTTAGTTGTATTTTATAATAGAACTATGCAATTATCTATATCCTAGGGATTAAAATAGCAACAAATGGTTTTGTACATTTTTAAATGTGAGAATTTCTTTATAAACTGGCCTTCTGGATTTGAATTATTTTAATACTTGTAAAATATATTTATGTAATATTTTGAATACTTGCTTTTTTATTTTATTAGATTCCTCCTGTATGGAAAAACTACTTTCAAAAGATTGGAAGGAAAAAATGGAAAGACTAAATACCAGTGAACTTCTTGGAGAAATCAAAGGTACAATATTAAAATATCAAACCTAATAATGTAGAATATTTTTCTTTATAATAACACATTTGCTGTTTTAATGTACCCTAACATTAAATTATTACTTCTAATCTTTGTTTATATATAAGAAGGAGGTAAAAGTACACTATTTCCCTAAACTTTCATTCTTTGTAATATATAAAGAATAAAATTTTAGTCCTCTCTTTGCATTAGTCTATAAATACAAAATTTATAGTATAAACTGCTTTATTAACTTATTTAATAAAGCAAGTATACTTTATGAAGTATGTATATAAATCATGTAGGGATGAAAATATATAAAGTATGAAAAAGAAAAATATGTTCAAAGTAAAGAAAAATTAAAGAAAATTTAGTTCTTCCTGTTGAAATTATAATCATGACTTAATTTGTAAATTCAAATCATTAATTGGAATTTCTTCTGATTAAAAAGGGTCAACTGTAACACATAAAAAAGGTTTGTAGAATGTGTTGCACATAATAAATTTTGGGTAGATTCTAAGGTCTGTTTACCTTGTTCGAATCCCAGTTCTGTCACTTAGATCTGTGACTTAGGACAAGTCATGAGCTTTCCCTGTTTTGGATTTCTCATGTCTAAAAAGGGGATAATAATATTACCTATCTCATAAACTCACTAAGAGTGTTAATATCTGTAAAGCTTTTATTTTTTAAGTTAAATTTGTCGGTCATTTATATTTCTATGTAACTATGTGATTACCTTTTTCCTCCTTCATAAGTGCGCATACTTCACTCACCGTCTACCAAGCTTCCTGTGCCCACGCCCTAGCCCCTTGTTTTTGCTGTATTTTGTCATATGTTTTTATGTTATTTATATTCCATGGGTAGGAAGTTTTAGAGCAGTGCCTGGCACTTAAGAAAATATTCATGAGAGTAAATTATGTTCATTATTATTAACATGTCCATATAATCAAGTTTGATTAATCTAAAGCAGATTTCACAGGATTTAACATATCATGACCTCTGAACCTAATGAGGGTGAACATCTTTATTTTTGAAGTACTGTGATATTATTTTGAAACATGTTAAGAAGTGGACAATTCCTATAGATTATAGAGTTACCTCCCTATCAGTTAAGAAGTATTACCTTAATAAAAAATCATTAAAAAAAGAAGTCATGTTTTTTATGTAACTCTCTGGTTGATTCCTCTATAAAGATGAAGAACTGTATTACTAGTTTTTGGTATCTTGAATAGAATCATGGTCATTCATGAATTCTGACAATTGTCCTCTACAGTCTTCACTCTGACTTGTATTAATAATTTGGGAATTTACAGTAGATTTCTGAGTTTATCAAACAAGTACAGGTGATTGATTGATTATGTCATGAACAAATGTTAATTATTTTCACCAATACTTTCTAACACCAATACTTTCACCAACACTTCCTATTAGTGATCGATGATATTTAAAATGAAAATTTGACAATAACTATATGATGAAAATGTTATTTTAAAGTAATTACAGAAAATTTCAGGGCATGTTGTGTTCAACTCAGAGAGAACATGAAGTCATTTCTTTTGCAATGAAAAAATAATAACTTCATTAATACTGTATCAACATCAAATGGAAATTGAATATTATTTAGGATTTCACTTCTTCCATTTTGAACTCATAAAGGCCATTTGTTATTTTGGTAAAAAAGAAAATCAACGTATAACTGACAGTCAGGAAGAAAGTCATTAGTGACACATTCTGTGTCCAGCCACAGTAACATGATGTGTACTATCGTGCACGTCATAGTGTTTTTTTTTTCCTTTCTAAAGCCATTGATTTTTATAACAGTGAGAACAGAAATGGTTTATGCAAAGGCAAGCTTTTGCCAGCATGAATGATGGGGGTCTTGCTTTCTCTTAGTAATGGAGAAATTAACATTTTATTATGTTATGATTCAGCATAGTTTTATGCTTTGGGCAATCTGCCATTCCCCACTTTTCATTTTATTTTTTATGTTGATAATCAGGTTAAAAAACAAAAAAACTAATCTTACTATATTTTAGATAAAGTATTTAAAATTCAAAAGTGATGAAATACATCAAAAATTAAACTTTTCAAATGTTTATTTTCTGAATTCTGTATGGGATGTATAAACTTTCAATTGCTGTTCTTAGTTTTATGGGCAGAGAAGATAAGATTCTTACTAAAGTTTTCATTTTGATTTTCTTAAATTTATTGTCTCTTCTTTTAGTCTAACATTTTGTCACCATAAATATTTTTATAGAAAATACACCAGTAGGGCCTCCCTGGTGGCGCAGTACTTGAGCGCTGGGTTGCGAAGCTGCCCGTAGCCTCTGCAGCGCCAGTTCGATGCCCGGCTGCTCCCCGGCCACCGGAGGAGGGTCCCACATGGCCTGCAGACCTCTCCTGCCGCCCGCTGCTCCCCTCAGCAGTGTACTTTAGTCCTTCTGCCTGCTCTGCTCCCCGCTCTGGCTCTGGTGAATTCTCTCACCCTCCCGCGCTTCTGACTATACCTAGTGCTTGTATAAATAAATTAATAAATCTTAAAAAAAATACACCAGTAATATAATTAAAAATGAAAAAAATATTATTCAAATATTTGCTTCAACTGCTATTAAAACTCAACATATATTTTTAGTCTAGGTGAGAAGAGGCTAATTACTTTCCACCTAGATTATATATTTTTCTGAAATTTTAAAGTGACCCAAATACTATCTTTAAGGAGTATAGATCATTTCGTATTATTTGTATTTAATATTACATATCAAGCATTACATATTTTAATATACATCTTCTCATTGCAAAATTTATATATATTTTTACTACAAAATGTATAGAAACAGATGAAATTAGAATTGTTTCATTCTTCTTACAGTGTATATCCTTTCAATTTTAATTTATGTGTATATATGCCAATTTTTTTTCTTTTAAATTTTGAACTGTCCTTATGGTATTGCTTTTAATTTGTTTTTTTCCCACTTCATGACATATTGTGAATTTCCCTGTGAGTAGGTCATCTTCTAGTATCATTATTTTTTTTTAATGACTAGAGAGTTAATAAAAACATAAAATAGAAGTAAGATACTAGTAGGAAACCTCCAGATATGTGAAAGAATAATATAGTCACTTAGAAAATTAACACAATTTCTAGAAATTTGACATGATAATGAAGCATGATCAAGTGGTCAGATATACACTTCTGTACTAAGCAATTAGTTAATATTCACATTTTTTCTCACATGAAACTTTTGCAAAAATTCACATTGTATATTTTTCAAACAAGTTTCAACAAATTTCCAATAATTTGTATCAACAAGTTGCATTATTTAACCATAATGCAATTAAGTTAGCAATAAATAGAAAAAATTAATGGAAAGTAATTAAGTTCCTAATTGGAGAGAGGCTGGTGGAAGAATGGCTGGTGATATGAAGCAGGATTTTCCTTTCTATGCAGACTTGTTTTACATTGTCGTCAGTCTATAATTTTTTTTTTTTTCTGAAGAAAAAATTGCATAAAGTGAGGTTCTTGTAATTTAATTTAATCTTTTATTCCATATTTAAGTTGTTTTTGTTGTTTGTCATTCTAAACAGCACCTTGAACATGGAAACTTTTTATTAATACTTCCTGGCTTATCAGTGCTTATTTTCTTAGGATATATTCCTCAAAAGTGAAAAATCTGGTTAAGAATATGTTCTTTTTTAAAGGGCTTTTGGTTATTATTGCCATGCTACCCTTCAGAGAGGATATGTGTTCTGTTCAATCACCAACTTGTCTATAAGTGTTCTCCAGTCCTCGATAAAAATTATAAAAATTGCGTTGCTAGTTTGATGAGGAAAATAACATATTCTTGCCAATTTAATTTGAATTTTTTGTTATTGAATATGAAGAATTTTACATACACTTTCTTTTATGAAATATTTCTTCGTGAATTACCTCTTAAAGTTTTCCTCTAAAGAATTATCTAGTTCTGATTTTCTAAGATTCTTGATTTATTGTATATTTTCCATTCTATATTCTTTTTGTTGCTGTGTTTAGAGATGCTCATGAATCTTGTCTTTATTTCTTTTACTGGTTCATTTTGTAATTTCCCATTATTAGCTATGGTCATTTTTCAATTATTTTTTTTCTCCTCTTCTTGAAAGTTATATATCCCTTTTCATATACCTCTTCTCTTCTTACACTGTCTAGAATGTCAAGAATAATATGAAATAATAGAGGAGATAGCAAATATTTTGTGTAGTTTTTAATTTGTGGAATTCTCTTAAATATTTTACCATTAATTATTACATTAACTATTGCTTTTATTTTTAATCAGTTAAAACCATTCTAGTTATAGTTTGTTAGGAGTTTCTATTAAAACTTGCATTTTATTTTATGGCATGTCTTATTGGTTTTTGTTTTTCAAATTTACTGATGAAATAAACCCTGATTAGTCATGGTCTAGTCTTGTTTTAATGTGCTGCATAATTTTATTTGCTCCTATTACAGTTATTTTTGCATCTATAATCATAAATGAGGTTAGTTTGTGATTTTCTATTTTTTTTGCATTATCTTTTTTAATTTTTAGTACCAGAATTCATTGCTGAATTGAAAAGCCTTCATTTTCTAGGCTATGTAAAATATTGAATAGATAACATGTGCCTTACTTAATCCTTAAAATTCTGAAAGAATATCCTCAGAAAATAGCTATGCCTATGGTTGTCTTTGGACATAGTTGCTTTAATTTTCTATCTTTCTTTAAGAAGTTTTGTCTTGAAATATTCTTTTTAGTTACTTTCTAGGAAAGAAGTCCTTAAAATTGTGTATTTCTTTGAGATTTTCAAATATGATAGTATTGATTTAATATACAGTATTCTTATTTCTGTTTTCTATTTCCATTTAAAATTTTGTATAATTGTGTTTTCTCTCTTGACCCTCAATTTTACTTGCAAGTGGTTTTTCTATATATTTCCCCTCCAGCTCTTGCTTTGGCAAGAATCCACTGTTAGGGTTTATTTGTCAGTTCTGCTGTTTG